GGGGATGAGAAGAAGGATCACCACGAGGGAGCAGGAGGACGAGGACAGAGGAGGAGCTGGATGGATGTTCTGCTGGTTTCTGGCTTTTTCTGGGACGCCAGGTGCAACTGGAGACTCTCTGGGCCCTCTTCCTGTGCCCCTCCGCCACTCCGCGTTCGCCCAGCTCTTCCTCCCTATCCCACCTCCTCCGGCATCGTGGGGGGGCACTCTGCAGAGCGGGGTTTCGGCTTCGTCTTTCTGTGGCGTGCCCTCGGGGTTTGTCTCTGTGGCCCATCTGGTCTGGCGAAAGGTCACTACATGTTCTCATCCGTATCCTTCTTTTTGTTCCTCTTGACGTTGCACAGGATCTGCTCAGATGGTCATCGCAGTGTCTCAAAAATTCGCATACCGATTTAGGCGAAACAGTCCAGTAAACGAAATTATTCATTGGCTGACGCCGCACCGCCGAACCCTTGGGGCGGCAGTAAGAGTGAAACACGGAGTTCGCGGAACGCGCGCGATTTCTGGGGAGTCTTGAGGTTTCAGCGTCTTGGGATTTCGTCGGGGGCGGTTGGCGGATCGCGGCTCTGCTCTTGGACTTCTTTGGGCTCTCTTGGCAGCATTTCTGAGGCCTCTTGGGAGCCGTGTTGAGGCCTCTAGTGGCCTTTTTGGGGCATCTCGGGGGCCTCGTGGGAGCCTCTTGGGGTTCTTTTGACGCCTCCTCCGGTTTTTTCGGGGCCGAGGGCTCGAACTGTCCATTCTGGTTCCCCCTGTGGGCCTCTTCTTGGGGCAGTCCTGGGGCCCTCCCGGGCCGTTTTAGAAGCTTTTAGGGCCGTCTCGGGGCCCTCGTGGACCGTCTTGGAGCCCTCTTGGGGGCCTCTTGGGCTATCTTGGGTCGATCTTGAAGGCTTCTCAGGCCGCTGTGGGCCTCGTCAGAGCCCAAGAGGCCAATGTGCTAAACATAAACGTCTTCCATTTGGAATTCGATGATTTTTGCTTCTGGAGGGCCTCTTGGGACGCCTTTTGGTGGCTTCTTGGGGCGTCTTAGGGGCCTCTGGGACCGTCTGGTGGCAGTCTTGGGCGTCTTGGAACGATCTTCTGGCGACTCGTCGCCCTCTTGGACCGTCCGTAGGGCCTTTTGGGGCCCCTTGAGGCTCCAAGGGTGCGGCCGGCACCTTTGCCCCCACCCCTCCTCCCATCTTCTCCAAATCGGCCAGACCAGGCTCCCGGAAGCATCTCACACGCCGTGGCCCCAAGGGATCGGCGGACTTGAAATGCCCGCTGCAAGCGAGAAGGAGTGCAAAGAGAGCAAGCGCAGGAATGTCAGCCCGCAGTGGCACAGAGCAGGCGCGCATCATGTTGAGGTGAGGAGAGTGACCCACGAATTTCCTCCTTCTCCTCCGTCCTTCTCTTCCGTCGCCCGCTCGCTAATAATCCAATCGTGGCTGCGGACGACGGCTTGTCGTTCGCGGCGCGCTGCGACACTGCTGCGTGTACGACCATAGGCGCCGCCGCCCCAGCCGCCGTCGCGGCCCCCGCCCACGGGGTAGGAATATGGACGCGGACCCCTCCCCCTTCCGTCGGTGGGTGCGTTCCTCCTTCCTCCTTCCTTCTCCTCCTCTTGTCCTCCTCCTTGATATCCTCCTTTCTTCGTCTTCCCTTCCTTTTCTCATCCTCTCCTCCTCTTTGTTGCTCCTCTCCTTCTCCTCTTGCCCCTTATTTTCTTCCTCCTCCTCCTCCTCCTCCTCCTCCTCTCCTCATCCTCCATCCTTCTTCATTCTGCCCCCCTCCCTGCCCTTCTCCCAGCTTCTCAATCTGGCGCTGCGCCCCGCGCCCAGGAGCAGGAGGAGCCGAACCCTGTAGCTCAGGAGGACGAGTCCGACAAGGGCGACATCGACGAGGAGGAGGAGGAGGCGCGCGCTCCCTCCCCAGGCACGTTCGCGTCGTGGAACAACAAGAGCCATGGTAGGCCTCCGGAGGCCTCGCCATGCACAGGGCCATCAGAGAACGATGTTGGATTAGGAACCCGCCATGGGGAAGGTGTCGCGACATCCAGCGACCCCAGATTTCAGGGGCAACGTTGGGGGTGCACAGGCTGAGGGGGGGACGCATCGACTCCCCATCGCCAGTTGATCGCCGATAGAAGGCTGATGGTCCGCCCCGCTCAGGAGCGTGCGACACGTCGCCGATCCGTCGGCGAAGCATCGCCGACTCCAGCTCGAGGTGTTCTCCTCCGCCCTCCGAGCGGGGCCCCGCCCCGACGTCCCCCCACAGAACTGAATCAGGAGGGAAAGAAACACACAGACACAATTGATCGTCGACTCCCCAGAAAACATGGGAAGATATGGGAAGTGGGGGGAAGACAGAAACCCAGAAGATAGGGGAAAACATGGGGAATCTTTTTATCTGTGTGCATTTATTTGCGTGTCAAGGGGCCCCTTCACTGAAGACAGCACGCCGTCGGCTGCCCGGGCCCTCTTCCCGGCGGCCTCGGCAGGGACCGCGCAGTCCCGCCTTCGCGCCGCGGCCGGCCTGCAGGGGCGCCGCGGCCTCGGGATCCGCTTTCCAGTTCGATTTTTTTCCTCGACGTCAGGACCAACATCTGATATAAAGATATGGCGTACAGTAAATCCGAACTTGGAGATCCGTCGCAGAGAGCCAACTTGGAGATCCGTTGCCGACGTCCCCCCACAGAACTGAAGACGGCAGGCCGTCGGCTGCCCCTGGCCCTCTTCCCGGCGGCCTCGGCAGGGGCCGCGCGTTGTCCCGCCGTCGCGCCGCGGCCGGCCCGCAGGGGCGCCGCGGCCTCGGGATCCGCTCTCCAGGAGAGGAAAAAACACACAGACACAATTAATCATCGATTCCCGCGAAAATATGGGAAAATATGGAAAATATGGAAAATCCTCGATTCCCCCGAAAAATCCTTGATTCCCCCGATTCCTCCGATTCCTCGATTCCTCGATTCCCCCGATTCCTGGAAAATATGGAAATCCTCGATTCCTCGATTCCCCCGAAAAATCGTCGATTCCCCCGAAAAACACAGACACAATTAATCCTCGATTCCCCCGAAAATATGGGAAAATATAGAAAGTGGGGGGGAAGACAGAAACCCAGAAGATATGGGAAAGCATGGGGAATCTTTTTATTTGTGTGTATTTATTTGTGTGTCCCGGGGTCCCTTCAGCTTATCAGTTCGATCGGAATGAGTACGGCGAGAAGGGTGACGAAGAACGGGCGGCCGCCGTTGCTGGGGTCTCCGCGGGCGTTGTCAGTCCACCTGCCGCCTGCCGGTTTCGGACCGCATGTGTTGTTGGGAATCGTGCCCAGTATCCAGTTGCTTGGCAGACCAGCACGGCAGAATCTCAGAGCACGGCAGAACCTCTCTTTGGGGTTGGGCCTTCGTCATGTTTTTCGTTTGGCCCGCCTCCGCTGTTCCCGGGCCCAGCTAACGCTCCCCTCCCTTCCCACGCTGCATTTACGACCCCCCCATACCATACCATACCATACCAGGATGGCAGACCTTAAGAGCATGCTTGACCACAAGAGCGTGGCAGTCCACAGGAGCACGGCAGACGACATGAGCATGTCAGGGGAAGGGCGACGACGACGATAGCAGTGGAACGGAGAGCTCCAAACGGAAAATCGGTTTCGTGTTCGTGTCGTGCGTGCGTGCGAGTCGAAGTTGCGAGGGCGCGCGAGAGGAATGATCTTGCCGTCGCCAGGGCGATTCCAACGCAAAAATCCAGCCCTCCCATGGGCGCGCGGTGGCTGGGGGTGTCCCGCCATGGTTTCCGCGTTGTGCCGATGGTGTCCCGCGGTGTCCCGCTGTCCATATAGTGTCTCGAGGTGTCCCGTGGTGTCCCGCGGTATTTCAGTGGTGTCCCGCGGTGTCCGGAGGTGACCAAGGGTGTGCCGCCGTGTCCCGCAGTTTCCCGCCGTGGCATCCCGATGGCGTCCCGATCAGTACTTTGTGAGATCGATAGTGAGGTCGGTATTGACCGAGATGTGGCGAGCTCACAGCGCAGCGAGGTCAGCGGAGAGCTCACCCCGCCAGGGACGTCAGGACGAGCGCGCGCGTCAGCTCGATATGCTTTGCGTGGAGGATGCCACCGTGGACCTGGGGGGGCGCCGTCGGCGCAGACCCGAAAGGAAGGCGGGCCGCCCTCGAGGGCCCTGGTGAGCGCAGCACGGCGCAGACCCGCAAAGGAGTGGTGAGCGAGGCATCTCTGTTGATTGAGTGTTGACGTCCCTGTACGTCCGAGGACGCAATCCGAGGCCAGTTTATGATTGAGATGTTGGCCTGTGGTTGCAGTCGCTGTGCGTGCCCGCTCGCCCGGTGTACGGATGGTGAGCGGTACCAGTTTTCGGCAAATTCGATGCGCTCCCCGAGTCTCGGCCTTTTGCCGTTGTAGTTCGGGGGGCCGTTCTGTATGCCTTCGCGCTGCCACCATGGGCTGCCACCATGGGCTGCCACCATGCGCTGCCACCATGCGCTGCCACCATGCGCTGCCACCACCGTTGTAGTTCGGGGGGCCTTTTGCCGTTGGAGTTCGGGCTGCCACCATGGGCCTCGGAGGGTGCCGAAGGCCAGACCCTAGGCAGGCGGGCGACCCCCAGGGGCCTTGGGGGGTGCTGCAAGGCGCAGACTTTTAAGGGAGTATTGGTACCGCGCAGGCGGCATGTCGTGCTCGCCCAGTTGCGAAGAAGCCAAACTGGCCGTGCGGGCGTGGCCCCCGTTCCGCGCCGGTTCGACCCCGGCGCTGGGTGGTTGGGAGAGCGAGCGACCCAGCGCTTCTCCTTCAATCGGGGGAGCGTAAGACCCGGGTTTGCCAGGACTCGGGTTCGCCATCATTTTTTGACGACCGCGCCTCGGATTTTGACGAGGAGGAGTTTCGTGGGATGTCTGCAGCGGGAGGCCTCGTCCAAATGCAGGCTCGGCCTCGTCATTTTTTTGACGACCTCGTCGGGGATTTTCGAGTCCCCTGTACCCAGGTCTTACGTCCCCCTGATCCTTCAACCTGATGCTGCTCAGGGGCCGCCTGACGATCTACCAGGCGCCGCGGCTCGTCCTGGCTGGAGGCATCGCCTCTGCGGCCTTCAGCACCAGGGGCACGGTGCTCGCTGGCTGCGCGTGCGCCGCGGCCGTCGCGGAGTTTCCTGTGCTGGGTGCCCTCCTGGAGGCAGGAGTGCAGCGGCCGCTGATCACCCCTAGGATCGGGGGCGGAAAAGAGGGGGGTGATGACTAGGGGGGGTGGATATCATGGCGGGGGCCATGATATTTCCCCAGATTTCATGGCGCCTCTTCTTATTTAATTACGTCCCTGGCCCCCCCGCTGGGCCGCGCACATGCCGCCGGTCATGATTTGCACCCCCCCCTCTTGGACACCCCCCTCTTTGCCGCTCCCGATAGGAACGTGGTCGACGACATCTCGCTGCAGGCTGTGGGCTCGGCGCGGCTCGTCCTGGAGCAGCTCGTGGGCTCCAGCTGCGAGGTGGTTCGCCAGCTGCGAGCCAATCATCTCCCGCTCAGCGAGAGCAAGACGGTCTTCCTCGCCTCGTCGCCGCAGCTTGCAAAGGGCCTGGCGGCGGCTTGGGAGGCGCGTGGCCTCTCCTTCAAGCGGGGCCTGCAGGCGCGGAACCTGGGCACGGATGCGAACATCACCCGCCGGGGTGTTCACGAAGGGGCTGCTCGGGCGGTGGGCGCCCTCAGCCGTGCCAGGCGGCCGCGTGTCCTGCAATCGGCGGGGGCTCCTGTGGTCGTGGTGCACCGTGCGGGCCCGACGGCTGCGATGCTGTGGGGTCGGACCGTCACGGGAGTGCCCGATGGGGAGCTGCACTCCTGGCGCCTTGCAGCGGCCAGATCGGCTGGGAAGGCGCGCGGAGGTGCAGCGCTCGGGCTGAGGCTCATGGCGGCGGATGTCTCGCGGTCCTCCGACCTCGACCCCAGCCCCGCCTTGGTGCGCCAGGCGGTCCAGATGGCGGCCAGCCTCCTGCAGTCGGGGGAGGTTCCCCTGCGGATGTTTGCGGCCTGCTTGGCAGAGGCAGACAGGAGGCATGCCAGCGCCTCGGCGCCGTGGGCGCATTGCCGCACACCGGTGGACGCGCTGGTCCTCTCCCTGGCCAGGATCGGCTAGAGGATCGCCGACGGCCACTACCTGGTCGCCGAGGACGGCCACTCCATGGACCTCCTCCTCATGGGCCCCCGTGAGCTTGGGCTCTTGGCGGCGGCGGGGGCGCGCAGAGCCTCCAACAGGGCCGAGCTGGCGCGCCTTGGGCACGGCGCGGCCCCCCCGATGCCGCTGTTCTGGGAGGCGTTCTCGGAGGTCCTGGGCCCGCGCAGCAGGTTTGATGCGCGGGAGAAGGCGGCAGTCGCGAGCTACCTCTCCAACGCTCACTGGCCGCAGACCCGCCTGCGCGCCGCTGGCGAGCGGGACCACCCGCGGTGCTGCGCCTGTGGAGCGGCGCGCGGTAGCCTCTGGCACAGGCTCTTTGAGTGCCCAGTCCTCGCTGCGGCGCGCCGCGACTCGGTCTCGGATCGCCTTCGGAGGCGCGCCCGTCGGGCCAGGGACCGCAGCGAGGCGGCGGGCGAGATTTTTGCTCGAGGCTGGCTGCCTGGCCCTCCTAGAGCTGCTCGGCGCACCGACGCCATGGCTGTGATGTGCGTCAACAGGCCTGAGGACGGGCTGCCGCGGGGCCGCCTCTTCCTGGACTGGTCGGCCATCGACCCCGGGCACGAGAGCCTCCGCCGCGCGGGCTGGAGCATCGCGCAGCGCGGCGCGAACGGCAACCTGGAGACCGCGGTCTACGGCACCGCCCGCCTGGACCTCTGCCCCTTCCAGACGGCCAAGGACGGCGAGGAATTCGCGGTCTGGATGCTGAGCCGCTTCGCGGGGCCCAACGTGGAGGAGCTCTGCGTCGACTGCGCCTCCACCGTCAGCTGCCTCAAGCTCGGCCGCCGGTGCGCGGCGGCGATGGGCAAGCCGAGCGCGCGCCTCTTGTCAGCCACCCACGCGTCGCTCGACGTCGACGCGCTCAAGGTGGCGAAGGTGGCGGCCCACTGCAGGGCCGAGGACGTTCGCGAGGGCAGGATCTCGGAGGCGGTCTGGCGGGGCAACTCCCACGCGGCCCACTGGGCCAAGGCGGGTGCGCACCTCCACAGGTGCAGCGCCATCGCGAGGAGGGGGTTCTCCGGCACGATGCTGGCGGTGCTGGAGCTCACCCGCTGGATCGCGCAGGCCTTCATCATCTGGCAGGGCATCGAGGCCAAGGACTGCCGGGGTCTCCCCGAGGCGAGCGAGAGGCGGAGCGTCTCCTTTGCGGAGCCCGCGGTGGAGCAGCAAGGCCGCCAGCAGCCATGAGGAGGAGGAGGGGGGGGAGGAGCTGCAAGCGGCGCTGGCATGGAGGCAGCCAGGGCCTCGGCGGCACGCGCTGGTGGGGTCGCCCTCGGGGCGGTGGCCTTCTCCGTCGCTGGCCGCGCCCTCTCCTGCGCCAGGTGGGCGTTGATGGCGACGAGGTGGAGCTGGTGGCCTGCGCCAGCTGCGGCGCCCATGCGAGGCTGGGCGGCAGGGCGGGTGCAAGGCCCAAGCGCAAGGACCGCTCTCCTGGCTCGGCTGGCCTGCCCAAAGCCACGCGGAACCGGCGGCCCCTGCGGGAACGGGGCTTGCATCCCGCCGGCAAGGCCCACAGCGGCAACAAGCGGGCCAAGGTTTCCGAGGCCCCCCGCGCCCGCGAGGAAGCGGCCGCCCCCGCCGACGCCAGGATCCGCTTCCTGGACAGGTTCGGGGCCCGCCCCCCGACCTCGAGGACGGCGAGCCCGTGGTGCCTGGAGGCCCTGCTGGCGGCCCTGGCGCCGCCGCCGCCGCCCCCGCGGCGAGTGAGGCGCCCGTCGCAGGTGCGAGCGGGCACGCGGCCAGCTCGAGGTAGGCCTGGCTCGACGCGCACGGCCTTGACGAGGCGGCGCTGCGAAGCTGGGCAGATGCGGCCGAGGCTAGCCCAGAGGAGAGGCGGCGGCGGAAGCGGCCCCGCGATGAGGAGAGTGACTGAGCCGCGCGAGGGGCGCGGCCGCTCGTTCTGCCGTATCGCTGCGCTTCGCGCCGACTTCGCCCCCCGACCCCGTCGGGCTCGTGGGCGTCTTGGAGCGGCGCTGGGCCCGAAGCGGCCCGCGCCTTTTTCTGCCTCCTGGGGCCATGCCCTACACGGGGGCGGCCCTTGTAGGCCCTGGGGTGGCGTGGGGTCCGAAGTGGCCCGCGCCGGCTTTTCTTGCCTCCTGGGGCTCGTGCGCACTACGCCGCGTGCGCCCTGCGCGGGGGCGGCCCTTGTAGGCCCTCTGGGACAGGCCCAGGGGAGGCCTCGGGCTTTGGCGCCTCAGTGGTGCCCCTTCCAGCATTCACAGGCCCCGCAGAACATTGAACACAGCGCAGCAGACCAGCACGGTTGACCACACGAGCGCGGCAGACAGTGCGGCAGACCGCAGCAGAACGGCAGACCAGCTCGGCAGACCACAGCAGCACGGCAGACCAGCATAGCAGACCACAGCAGCACGGCGGCCTTGCGGGGTTCCTCGTTTATTGTTCCCCCTTGTTCTCGGGCCTTACGCCATCGACATCCCATCCCATTCCAGCACGGCAGCCCACAGGAGCATGGCAATCCGGCACGGCATACCACATCAGCGCGGCAGACCAGCATGGCAGACCACAGCACGGCAGACCAACACAACAGAACCTAAGAGCATGACAGACCACAGGAGCACGGCCGACCACAGGAACACCGCAGACCACACGAGCACGGCAGACCAACAGAATGAACCGCCAGCGGTTCTGTTGGTTCTTCGCGTATCGTTCGGAGTTTTTTCGGTTTCCGTGATTGTCGCTTCAGGTGTTTGAAGAATGGCCGACTCCCTCGGGGCATCCTGGAACAAGGAGCTTCGGAATCAATCATTGTTGGGATCGCTCTTGGGGGGGCCCACCGTGGCCCTCCAAATCCCCCAAAACGCCCCCCCTGGAGGACCTCAATGGGACCCCGAGGGACCCCCAAGAAAACCCCATGAGGCCCCAGACGGCCAAACAGAACCCAAGATGGCGCGGCGGCCTGATACAGCCCATACAGCACTAAGACACGCCCCAGCAGCCCCCAAATAATCCTGCAGCTTCCAAGAGGACCACGACAGGCTCCCAGGATGCCCCAATATAGCCCCAGATGGCCCAAACACTCCCCAGGGTGGCTTCAAAAGGTTACGAGGGCCCCCTCCTTATCCGGCTTCGCGTCCCTCGGGTTCTTAACCATCTTTCTTCGTCGTCGTCGTTGTTTTGTTTCTCTTCTTCCTTCCCCTCCTCCTCCTCCGCCTCATTCCTCCTCGCACTCGTCCTCCTCCATATCTTCCTCGTCTTCCTCGCGCTTGTTTCCCTACCCGTTGTCCTCCTGATCCCATCGCTGCCCTCCCCGTCATCCTCGTCATGCGCCGCCTTGTCGTTCCTTTTCTCCTGTTTTTCTTTCCCCCATACGAGCCCAATGGGCAAAATCAGTACTGCCCGTTCTTGTTCGATCATGTTCATTCCGGGCGTCCACATTGTTTCCGTTCCATTGTTTCCCCCGTGCTTTTCATAGGCAGTAGGTGTCTTTTTCTGCCCCTCCCCATGGCGTTGGACCTTGGACTGGGTGGAGGGGTGTTCGGTGGCGCCAGGATCGAAGTTCGAATCGCCATTAGCCCATAGCTAGGAGGAGGCGCGCGCACGCACTGCACCGGGAGGCGGAGATCAGGCGGTTCGAACAAATCGAGGTGACCGGTCTTTCGCCGTTTGGGGCCTCTGGCCCTCAGGAGGCCAATTTCGGGCGCGGGGATTGTCGGAGGAATGACTCGGGATGGGAGGCGGGGAGTACATCGTCCCCCAATCCCGATGGTGGCTCCGCAGCCCACCCCGCTGGGGAAGGTGATGTTTTGCTATCGGGGGCTCGTGGCCGATCTCAATGTTTCCCCATGTTGCCCCCCCCCCCCCCCCGGCCCTCAGGGGGGGGGGGGGGAGCAAGGAGGGCGAGATCGCCGAGAGGACGCAGGCCCCAAGAGTGGCCAGGCCAGGGTCGAGGCCACGCGGGCGGAGGTCACGGGCTCACGCAGTTTGGCGCCAGCGGTTTCAGACGTGCCCGCCGCCCTTGCCGTCCGGTACTGGTGGGCACCTGTCCTAGAGTTGTGTGGGAGCCAGGGCGGCTGCGAGGAAGGAAAGGCGAGTCACCAATTCCTCACATGTCTGAGTGTCCACGAGGTACGGGGGGATGTTCATGTGTATACTCAAAAGGGTTATGCGCTCGTCAACGTCAATCAGGGGAGGCAGGATGTGGCGAGGGCAGGCAGAAGCGAGTGGCATTTTTGTGCTGTGGACGACTGCCGGCTAGGCTCTCGAAAGGACTAACAAGCAGGCTCAAAATATAAGAGAATTGAGCGGGCACACGGGGCCCTGGCAGTACACGAACTTCACCGCGGCCCAGACAATTACGAGCATTGCATGGCAAGCACTACCGGCAAGAGCGGCACTGCGACGTGCGCGCCCGCGGCGAGCAGCCGAGAAGCTGCACGCACCACGGGTGCAACGAGCCACGGATGTTCCCGTAGCACGGCTAGCACTTCCACGCAGTCCGAAAACCGATTGAGCAGCTCGCAGTCTTCGCTGCGAATGGTAAACTGTGCCGAATTCGCTGCCTCAGACTGACCATCGCCGACCACATTGGATCCTAGATGGCTGCCTCGATCATCCCGCAGAGAGACTGCGGCACCAGACGAAATACTCAGCGAATGGGGAGCACACTGCAAAACTGCCTCGGGAGACAATCCGGGCACCAGACGGGCGCCGCCAGACACCTCTGGGCCATACACATGGCTCACCGGCTCCGCCGAGCAAATGTCGCTGCTTCCGGCCTCTGCAAGGGACGTGGCATGAACGAAATTGTGAGGCACGATCGAATCGACGCCAAATGTGTCGAGATCAGCGCCTTCGGCCGCCAAAATGGCCTGGTCGTTCACCTGCTTATTTTTCTTCCTCTGCCTCCGGCGAGGCCGCTTCTCACCTATGAAGAACTCTTCCGGTGCCGCCTGGGTGGGGTGGTCGGCCTGCGCACCTTCGCCAGCGGGGGCGGGGGTGGCAGAATCGGCATCCTCACCGGCTGAGGCGGCAGCGGCGGCGGCGGGGGAAGCAGCGCCGGACAGGTCGAACTCGAGCTCAAGGACGGTGCCGCCAGCACCGGCAGCGGAGGACGCGGAGGCAACGGCGCCGGCGGACGCTTGGCCAATGCCGCACGCCGGTTCCGGTCCGAAAGCTGGGCCAGCTGCTTCGCCCTCTCTCGGAAGAACTCCTTCCGGGACATGCGCAGGTAGACCTCCTTCCCTGTCTTTAGGCCCTTCTTTTCCTTCTTGTCCTTCATCTCCTTCACCTGGTTGCTGTTCTTCTGCTTCTTCGGACGCCGCCTCGGACGGCGTGCGGCCAGCTCCGCAGCAGGCGGCGGCTCCACTGGCACCGGAAAGTCCGTGCCCTTGTCCTTCACGCCACTGTCCTTCAGGCGGCCCTCGCGAGGAGGCGGGGGCAGCACACCACGTGATTTGCGGCCCCACCGGGATAGCACCTTGACAACATGAATGGCTCCACCCTCCCTCTCCGGCAATGGCGGGGGTACTGGTGGAGCAGGCGCTGGCGGAGGCTGCGGGACATTGCAAATTGGAACCGTCCCACCCTCCCTCTCCGCTAATGGCGGGGGTACTGGTGGGCAAGGCGACGGTGGGGCCTGCGACGCCAACGAAGTCGCGCCCACCGCCCACGCCCCACGACGCCAAGGTAGTCGTGTCCACATCCGACATGAGAGCAGGCGCCGCACCAATCCACTGGCCAGGAGGACCCTGTGGACGCAGCATCCTGAACAACAATATCGAAGGACTGGGCTCCAAGGCCAAATGCAAAGTGCCTGAGCCTCTCACCCAACTCTTGCGACAGTAAGTGATGTGGCACGAAGAAGCGAACTTGCATGCAAAGGAAAGGACGGACACGATATGATCCCAGCTCTTCACCCTCTCGTCAGCTACAAAAGGGCGCTCAAGCCGCACACATCGCGGTGGTCCAGCGGCTGGGCCCCGGCGCAGGCGGGCAGGCGAGGCGCGCGCCCGGCCTGAGCCAGAGAGGCTTGAGGCAGAAGCGAGTGGCAGGGGGAGGGCGAGGGAGGGAGGCAGAGCGGGGGGAGGGAACAGCGAGGCGCGCGCGCGCACCCGACGCCTCCTCGGGGGTTTTCGCCGCCCCCCTGGCGCCTCTTCGGCGACGCTGGGGGCCTCCTGGGCCTTCCTGGGTGCTCCCGTCGCCGAATTGGCTCGTCCTGGAGATCCATGTGGCCTCCTGGG